GTTAGTCTGGGGGTGTGGTTGTTCCCCGACACCGTTGTATCATGCCGTTTTTTTTTCTGTCTTTGTTGTGTGTGTTTGTTGTGGTGTCATATGGTTATCTGTAAGGGCCTCATTAATTTAATATCTATTGGACGGTAGCCTTTTTTCTTTCTAAAAATGTCGTGGTCAAAGCTTGTCGCAAATTCTGAGAGGATGTTTCGCACGACAGAGCCTCTTTTCCCTTTACACCCTTGCAAACACGCATTTTTGAGATACGTCCACTGCACATGCACGAACACGAGGACGGTTTTTGAATGTATAAGAAACTTCAAATGGACTCATATTTTTTTTAGGGTCAATGGACTCAGATGGATAAACTCCCCGGAACGAGCCCACCTCGCGCGGCCCAACAGCCCACTCCGGCCCGCAGAGAAACCCTAGCCTCCATCCAACTCATATACCCCCTCCTCCACCCCGCAACCCATTCCTTCTCCTCCTCCCCGCCGCCGCCGCCGCCTCCTCTCTTCGCCGCTCCCGCTCCGCCGCCGCGCCACCGCCGTCAGCCATGGTACGCTCCCCCCGCATCCGTCTCCCCGCGTGACCACACCGGACGCGCGCTGACGCACCATCTCTTGTCCCGCTCGCAGGCACCGAAGAAGGAGAAGGCCCCGGCGGCGTCGTCGAAGCCGGCCAAGTCGGGCGGCGGGAAGCAGAAGAAGAAGAAGTGGAGCAAGGGCAAGCAAAAGGAGAAGGTGAACAACGCGGTGCTCTTCGACCAGGCCACCTACGACAAGCTGCTCACCGAGGTGCCCAAGTACAAGCAGATCACGCCCTCCGTCCTCTCCGAGCGCCTCAGGGTAACCTCCTCCCTCCCTCCCTCCCTCCCTCCCTCCGCCGGATCTCTTCTTCTTTACTTACCTTCGTCAGAATTGAGATCTCGGGATGGTAGGATATGTGTGTGATGCATCATGGCTCCCGGTGAAGTGTTCTGCTCTAAGCAAGAACAAGATCTCTGTTTTGGGGTCAGTCAGTCAGTGGTACTCTGAGCAGGAACAAGGTCACACCCGTGCGCTCGAAGCCTGTCTAGATAGGGCGTACATGATTGCGTTGTGGATAGATTCGATGCTGGATTCTCGTTCGGCTCCTTCATCTTTGGTGGTAGTTTCTGTGCAGATTTTGCTTGGTGTGCCATGTTGTAGCTAGGATGCAGAGGGCAGTGGTGATCATTTATGTCTGGTGTCACAGATATTTCATAATCTGATTTGGACATGCGCAGTGCTAATGCCTAATGGTGTTATACGTGATTCAACATCACCATTGATTTGTAATGTTTCATAGAGTTAAATGTGGTTTGACGATGCTGCTGAACACTAAATTAACCTTCCCCTGCATCTTAGTGTGAACAATTTGTGCCTGACAGTTCCCATTGAACTGTACATTACAACTACTGATTGATTTGAGGACTGTGCATCCAATTTGTGACTGCTCTCGATTTAATAATTTTTAACTCTTCTGGCATTTTCAAGTTAGCACAATGTATATTAGTGTATCGTCTGTGTCGTTTGCTTTATAAATGGTGCTGATGATGTTACTCACCCTGTGTCTACCTACCTGCAGATCAACGGGTCACTGGCTCGCAGGGCCATCAAGGACCTGATGGAGAGGGGGCTCATCAGGATGGTGTCAATCCACTCCAGCCAGCAGATCTTCACCAGGGCCACAAACACCTGATTTACCTACTTCATGTGTTACCTGCCTGTTTTCTAGTCCAGTAGACTGAGATGTCGCTGTTATATTGACGTTCATTATGTTCAGCGAGGCACTTTGTGGGTCTTGTCTTGCGCTCGTGCCACTAGTATGTTTGAATTGCTTTGAGTTTTTGGTACAATCTAAAGACGCAATGAAATCTACCTTATATTATCAGGCTCTGTTTGTATTTGTTGCTGTCTCGGTTTTCATGTTTCTTCAGCTATATGAATGTTCCATCCGGTCGTATAATTGAACCTTGATTATAGCTGCATAGTGGCCCCTAGTTGCGAGGGTAATGGTGTAAAAGATGAAGTTCCTCTGAAATAGATTTGATTTCGGGCGGATTAAATTGTCATAACTATGATTTTGACGCAAGTCTTTGTGGTTTTTATTTGATAATGGTGGTTGTCTATACCACCTGGCTTCCCCATTGTTTTGCCCGTGTCTTTTGACCCAACTCTTGAATAACACCAAGTCCCTAATTCCTGAATCAACAGAAAATACAAGTTCATATTTAGTCTCATTTCACGTCTTTGGAAATGAACACGTAATTTTTGTTTTGTTCTGTTTTTCTCTTCTCAACTCAAATAGAGAAGCTACACTATCAATATGTGGAGATTTTGGTACATTGTAAGATTGGACTAGTGCCACAAGTATGTTGAATTGCTTTGAGTTTTTGGTACAGTCTAAGATTTTCTTGTCAGCGCAATGAAATCTAAGATTGTGTTACTCCCTCCGATCCGTGCTTAGTGCAAATTTTATGTAGTAAGTCAACGACAATTACTGCCTCTGTAAACAAGTACAAGTATAAGATGTTTCAACTTTGGATGTGTGTAGACGAATGTCAGTGTGTTTATTCGTTCATTTCAGTCTGTATGTAGTTCATATTAAAATCTCCAAAACATCTCATAATAGTGAACGGAGGGAGTACGAATTAAAAGTAATGCCAGAGCCTTATGTCTTGTAGACATGGAACAAGCAACTTCTCCCAGGGGCCAATGAATTCTTGATTTTGGGAAGATCGAATTATCATGTTTGTGAGTCTTTGCCTGAATTATCATGTTTGTGAGTCTTTGCCTGTATAAAAGTTGTTGATAGTACGTACACATTTACCCATAATTTTGCTCTGATTGCCCATAATTTTCCTGTCAACCAACAATGTTATTTATGCTTGGTTTCGTTTCAAATCTCAGAAAAGGTACAATTTGAGTCAGTTCAACTACATGGAACAAGCAGCACAGAATTGCAGAACTACACATGTTGCCATCTTCACCCAGCAACCAATGAATTATTATTCCGCAAAAAAGAAAATGCAATGAATTATTGGCAGCTTTGATGCATCCGAGGACAAACATCACCATATTACCTGTGCTGTGCTGGTCTTAATCTTGCCAGCAAATCGACACTCTCTATGCATCACAAGGGACAAACATCACCTCCTTGGTTCCTCCAATTCCTGCCCAGAAAAAGCAAACCGAGCTGCCTTTAAATTGCAGTGCAACCTCACTCATCATCTCCACAGCCACAAGCACCAGCAACAGACAGTAGCTTCAAGAGCCAGGATCATCTGTGATCTAATGGTGTCCATGAACCTCTACTCCTTGGCGCTGGTGGTGGTCGCCCTGGTGGCGGCGCCGATGGCCGCAGTGGCCGGCGACCCAGACATCCTCACCGACTTCATCGCGCCTATGGTCGGCATGCCCATGAACATCACCGGCGACTACTTCACCTACACCGGCTTCCACCCGTCCCTGCCGCTGCCGCTGCCGACCTTCACGCTCACCAAGGCCTCCATGGCGGAGTTCCCAGCGCTCAACGGGCAAAGCGTGTCGTACGCCAGGCTCGTGTTCCCGCCGGGCACCGTGAACCCGACCCACACCCACCCGCGCGCCTCCGAGCTGCTGCTCGTCCTCGACGGTGCCCTCTCCGTCGGCTTCGTCGACACCGCCGGCAAGCTCTACACCAAGGACCTCGTCACCGGCGACATGTTCATCTTCCCCAAGGGCCTCGTGCACTACCAGTACAACCAGGGGACAACGATCGCCGTGGCGCTCTCGGCATTCGGCAGCGCCAACGCCGGCACCGTGTCCGTGCCCGTCACCGTGTTCGGAACCGGCGTCGACGACGCCGTGCTCGCCAAGTCGTTCAAGACCGACCTGCCCACCATCCAGAAGCTCAAGGCGGCGCTCACCCCGCCCAAGAAATAAGCCCGTCCGTGTCTCGTGCCGCATGTTTGGTGTTGTTGTCCGCCGTGTTGTGTTTTTGAATTTGTTTTGCTTGTTGGAAACCTACCTGCCGAGCAACGCAGGCAACCAAGTACTGCATGCACATGGTAGGAGATATTTGGTGGTGAAATGATGTTGAATTATGTGGGTTTGCAATGTCGTCTTGATTTGGATCGAACTGTTTGTGTGTGTTGATGTTTGGAACTCATGATCTTGACTCTTTGAGTTACATATATGTTCACGATTTTGTATTGGGTTGTGCCTGGTGAGTTTGTATACCATTTTGAAGGCACCGATGTTGTATGGTACACAGTTTCAGTTTGGCATATGATACATGTTTTAAATAATTCAGACTTCACAAAAGTGTACAATTATGTGCATGATGAAATTTTGGCATGTCAAATTTGTAGCAGTGAACTAATTAAGTGAACTTTGCTGTCAAATTGTGGCGATGAACTTGGCGATTAGAGCTAAGGAAGAGGCACTAGCCAGAGGGGCGATTCAGCAGTTTTTAGCTACGATATAGTGTGGTGTAGTGAATGCATTGAAATTTGTTCTTAGTTCTATCCATTTCAAGATTGTAGCTAGTCTTTAGTTACATATATATTTGGATGTTTCTGTGGCGTTAGGTAGTTAAAACAGCACAGAACCATTTCATTTCGAGCGGCCATCTACTGAGTTCCATAGTGTTATTTAGAATGATAGGCTTCTCCCCAAAATGGTGTACAGAAGATAGAGAGGGACACTTGCTTTATGTTATGACTTGTAATAATAAGTGTGATTTCTATAGAAGAAACAGAGTTTACTTGTAACCATGGAAATAAAAAAAAACAAGAGTTGCATAACAGACACAAGTATATTTGATGGCATAATCTTAACACCCAAATCAAATGAAGTTTGACATGAGTCACCATAACAATTCACAAGCCACAACATGCGCATATTATTACACAACTTAAAACTCACAAGAACACCAGGTTCACTCCACCATCATTCACTAGCTCGATGTGGCCTTATTATTCAGGGCGACAACAATACACCGACGAATCATTTCTTTGCTGGCGGAGTGAGTGCCGCCTTGAGCTTTTGCACGGTGGGCATGTCAGTCTTGAAGGACTTGGCGAGCACCGCATCGTCAACACCAGTACCAAACACGGTAACAGGAACAGACACGGTGCCCGCGGCGGCGCTACCGAATGCCGAGAGTGCAACTGCGGGGCTTTGCCCTGGGTTGGACTGATAGTGCACCAGACCCTTGGGGAATATGAACATGTCGCCGACGGCTAGGTCCTGAGTGTAGAGCTTGCCAGCCGTGTCGACGAAGCCAACGGAGAGCGCACCGTGAAGGACGAGCAGTAGCTCTGCTGCACGAGGGTGTATGGGGTGGGTTGATGGATTCGGAGGGGAACTTGAGCATGGCGTAGGACACGCTCTGCCCATTGAGTGCCGGGAACTCGGTCATGCTGGCCTTGGTCACAGTGAAGTTCTGCGCCCCGGCATCGGCATGGTCATGTTCATGGTGGCGCGAAAGCCGGTGTAGGTGAAGAAGTCGCCGGTGATGTTCATTGGTGCTATCCCGTACATGTCGTTTGGGACGACAAAGTCGGCGAGGATGTCCGGGTCGCCGGCCACAACGGCAAGTGGCGTCGTGACCAATGCAACCACCACCAGTAACAAGGAGTAGCAGTTGAGGGACGCCATTGAAGTTGAATGTAGCTACAAGGTAAGCTAATGATTTAGTGGCGCCAAGAGACTGATTGGTGAACGCTGTGGTTGTGACTTGTGAGTTGTGGTGAAGATGTTGAGCTACCTGTTGTGTTATTTATATACACAAGAGGCAATCTAGCTAGCTAGCGAGGTGATGAAGAGTCTGATAAACCAAGGGCCATGAAAAAACACTGTACAACAAGCTGTAGCCAGCTAGTGCTATTTGACACACATCTGAGGAAGAATTAACTGGCCAATTCCATGCAACTCTTGGTGTCTCCAAGCATATATATGGATATACCAGCATGCGACTCAGAATCTTTTTGTTCTCATTCTGATACAAACTTTGCAGCCTCAACTTGACAAATATGATCTGTGCACCAAATACCCTGCAAGTATGTAATGTAGTACATACTCCCTCCGTTCCTAAATATAAGTCTTTTTAGATATTTCACCATGGACTACATACGGATGTATATAGACTTAGTTTATAGTGTAGGTTGACTCATTTTGCTCTCTATGCAGTCCCTTATTGAAATCTCAAAAAACACTTATATTTAGGAACAGAGGGCACGGAGGCCCTCTCCTAAATATAAGTCTTTTTAGAGATTTCAATATGGACCTGTGTTTTGATTTTTGGTTTGAGATTTTTTTCTCGCCCCAGGCCAAGATGGCCGAATTTCGGTCATTTTCAAAAATTTCGGCCAAAATTTTGACCGAAATTTGACTAAAATTTGTCAAATTTGACCAATTTCGGTCGAAGATAGATTTTGCCCCAGGCCGAGATGGCCGAAATTCAAAATACAGATATGGACTACATACGGACATATATAAACGTAGTTTAGAGTGTAGGTTCACTCATTTTGCTCCATATGTAGTTCATATTGCAATTTCTAAAAACACTTATATTTAGGAACAGAGGGAGTATATGACATGAGCACAAACGTGTATATCACCTGTGAAACTTAGGAAACAACGATGGCAATGGCAAGCCAATTTGTTCCAGCTAGCAGTGTCCCTACAGGCTACAACCATGAACTGTAACACTGGATTTATAATCATGTCTCAACCATGAACTGTCACAAGGGCATCAAACTTGGGAAACAACGATAGCGATGGCAATCCAATTTGTTTGGCCCCTACAGGCTACAGCCTCCTACAAATAATCACAGCCTCAGGCCGGCCACCTCCACTCCTCCACCCTTCACACAACCTTACTACTACTACGTGAAAATGGTGTCGTCGTGTCTTGCCCTCGTCGTCCTCCTTGCTCTGCCCTTCCTTGCCCTCGCCGGCGACCCGGACATCCTCACAGACTTCATCCTGCCGCCCGGCAACAATGTGTCGCTCCTCAACGGCACCTTCTTCACCTACACAGGCCTCTTCGCTATCGACTCCGCCAACCCAGCCAAGTTCACGGTGACAAAGGCCACCGCCACCGAGTTCCCGGCGCTGCTCGGCCAGTCCGTCTCCTACGCCGCCCTCAGCTTCGGCCCCGGCACCGTCAACCCGCCGCACGTCCACCCAAGGTAACAAAACTTTACACGCTTTTTAGCTCATCATGATTGATCCTCAGTATATACTATATACACGTTAGTGCTCATGTCATATATGTGCTTCTTCTTCCATGATTGCAATGGTGGCCGGCAGGGCGTCGGAGCTGCTTTACGTGGTGGAGGGTCCGCTGCTGGTGGGCCTCATCGACGAGACGAAAGGTGAGCTGTACACGCAGACGCTGCAGACGGGTGACATGTTCGTGTTCCCCAAGGGCATGGTGCACTTCCAGTTCAATAGTGGCGACCATGTGGCGCGTGCCTTCTCGGCCTTCGGCAGCTCCAGCCCCGGCACCGTCTCGCTCCCGACTGTCCTCTTCGAGTCCGGCATCCCTGACACCGTCCTCGAGAAGTCGCTTCACGTCGACCAGGCCACCGTGGATGTGCTCGAGCAGGACCTGGCGCCACTTGCTCCCGCTCCCGCTCCCTCTCCAGATACACCGCCAACACCTAAGAATGGTGGTGCAGCACCCGCACCGGCGTGCTTCGCGCTGCTAGCTTGCTTCGCCGCTGCATTGTTGTTGTGACTTGTGAAGTTGTGACTGAGAGCCATGGCTTATCTTGTTGCGAGGAGCGTAG